TTTCACTTCATACGTCATAATTGTTTAAATTAATTTAAAATTAGCAGAAGACATAAATTAATTACATAATTAAATCCTTTTCCAGAACAAAAGATAAAAAAAAAAAAAAACGAAAAAAATTTTTTTTTTATTTAAAAAATCATCCGATTATTATTATTATCATTATTGAAGTCATTAATAAAAAGCAGAAGACAATAATAATAATAATAAAACTAACATAAAATCAACGACGATTGAAAAATATTTAAAAAAAAAAAAGAAAATACCTTAAAACTATTAAAAAAAAAAAAATTAACAAACGATGATAACCTAGTTAATAGTTGCAATTATTATTATCATCATCATCATCATCAAACCTGAAGAATGAAAATACCTGAAGAATGTTAATTGAGACTTTTTTTTTTTTTTTTATTATTTATGTATTTTAACAACCGAACCAGTTTATAAACCATCAATATTAAAAAATTATTATTACCGTAAAAGAAAATTTTTTTTTTTATTACCCGAGTAATTTTTCTATTTTTTTCCAAATTGTATATTCGGATTCGTTATGATTTTACTTCCGGTTTAAGATAAAATTATCTCGCACCATTCCCTCCATCCCTACCCCTACCCTCTCCCCGCGTAATCACCACGGTAATAATAATATTAATAATTATAACCGAATTTTTTACTCTTTTCGAGGAAAGAGTAAAAAAAAAAAAAAAAATTTCCAAAATGAAGTAATAAAATTTTTTCGGTTATTTTTCTATTAAACTCGTTTTGGAAAAAGAAAAATTAATAATTTTTTATTAATAATCTATCATTTCGCATTTTATAAACGTAAAAAAAAAATTACCGTAATAAAATGATGATAATAATAATAATAATATTAATTTATCGACAACTTTCTATCAACTCTCATCAACCAATAAAAAAAAAAAAATTTTTTTTATTTGATTTGATTGACCGTTTTTTTTTTTTTTTAACAAACAAACTTGAGAAAAAATTTAAAAAAAAAAAAAAAGAGCAAAGAGAGAGAGAGATATTGTGTGTGAGAGAGACAGTAATGAGAGAGAAAGAGAGAGAGAGAGTGGGGTTTGTGTCGTATAACGCTACTCTTGGAATGAAGAATAATTAACACAAAAAACTTGATTAAAAAAAAAAAAAAACAAGAATATTGTTTTTTTTATTATTTTTTTCATAACTAAAACAAATAGAAACAAACAACAAAAATTTTGTTGTTGTTGTTTTTGGGCGCGTGTAATATTTAAATAAATTCGTGTTATGATTTTTAACCGGTCATTAATTAATTACCGGTTGTAAATTTTTTTTGTTTAATTTTTTTTTCGTACGTTTTTCTTAATGGTTTTTTTTTTCGGTATACGATCGAATGTTCCACACGCTTCCGGTTGTTTAATGAATAAATTTTTAAATTAACTACCACTACATTCTTTTCCAGGATCAAAAAAA